GAAGGGGGGGGGGAGAGAAACAGGGAGCGGCGTCGCTTCCACCGCTCTGGAAGGAAAATAAATAAATAAAAAAACAAACGCAGCAGAGGATGAACAAAAATCAAAAGCTGTGAAAAGTCTAACAGTAAAGAATATCGGGGGGAGGTGACATCCCTTGCAATACTTTACCGATTTGCACAGTTAGTGGTGTAAAGTTATCAACTCAATACAGGGAAGGAAAAAAAAAAGAGTTTGATTTGTTGTTTTTTTCTCTCTTCAAGAAAAATACCTGACATAACGGAGAAGGTGGCAAAAACAAATAAGCTTAGTTTATTTCAGTGGCCCACAGAAGAAAGAATATAGCCAATTAAAAATCATACCTTTTAAAGCTTTATCTACGTTCCCTTGGATAATAATCCTGGGGGAGAAAACAAAAAAAACAAAACAAAACAAAAAAAGATATAGCATGAACAAGCAGAACTAATACACAGAAAGCCATGAGTTCATGTTATTGTCCAACAAGCATTCCTCCTCCATCTGCAGAAATCTATTTCTTCACTGAATTTCACTGAATTTTTAGAATTGGAAGGGACCATAGAGATCATCTAGTCCACCCCACCTGCCAGAACAAATAAGCTTAGTTTATTTCAGTGGCCCACAGAAGAAAGAATATAGCCAATTAAAAATCATACCTTTTAAAGCTTTATCTACGTTCCCTTGGATAATAATCCTGGGGGAGAAAACAAAAAAAACAAAACAAAACAAAAAAAGATATAGCATGAACAAGCAGAACTAATACACAGAAAGCCATGAGTTCATGTTATTGTCCAACAAGCATTCCTCCTCCATCTGCAGAAATCTATTTCTTCACTGAATTTCACTGAATTTTTAGAATTGGAAGGGACCATAGAGATCATCTAGTCCACCCCACCTGCCAGAGCAGGGTTGCCCAGAGCACGTTACTCAGGACTGCATCCAGGTGGGTCTTGAAAATCTCCAAAGAAGGGGACTCCACACCCTCCCTGGGCAGCCTGTTCCAGGGCTCTGTCACCCTTACTATTTCTTGCTCGGTTTGACCCCGTTAAAAGTGGCTACACATGCTGACAAGGTGGAACAGTCGCCACACATTCCCTGTCCTTCCCTGAGCTTCTTTTATAGAATCATAGAATTGCCCAGGCCGGAAGGGACCTCCAAAGGTCATCTAGTCCAACCCCCCCACAGTCAGCAGGGACACCCCCAACTAGACCAAGTTGCCCAGGGCCTCATTGAGCCTCTCCTTGAATATCTCCAGGGAAGGGGCCTCAACCACCTCCCTGGGCAACCTGTTCCAGTGCTCCACCACCCTCACAGTGAAGAACCCTCTCCTCATCTCCAGTCTAAATCTGCTCCCCTCCAGCTTGAAGCCATTGCCCCTCGTCCTGTCACTGCAGGCCTTTCTAAACAGGCTCTCCCCAGCCTTCCTGTAGGCTCCCTTCAGGTACTGGAAGGCTGCTATTAGGTCTCCCCGGAGCCTCCTCTTCTCCAGGCTGAACAACCCCAGCTCCCTCAGCCTGTCCTCGTAGCAGAGGTGCTCCATCCCCCTGATCATCCTTGTGGCCCTCCTCTGGACCCTCTCCATCAGGTCCATATCCTTCTTATATTGAGGGCTCCAGACCTGCACACAATACTCCAGGTGAGGTCTCACCAGAGCAGAGTAAAGAGGAAGAATCACCTCTCTGGACCTGCTGGCAACGCGTCTTTTGATGCAGCCCAAAGTCTTTTTTGTCAAGTCTTATGTATTTAAGTTCCTTCAGGCTTTTCCTCCTCCAGATTTCTGTCTTCAATCATGAGTTTAAAATTTTGAACGAAAAGAAAGAGACTAACTGGCAGGGAGAATAGTTTCGTAAGTTTCTCGATTTTCTTCAAGAGTTTGCTTAACGGTAAATTTCAGCTGAAGGCACAACTTATTTTTTTAATTGCAATCACTGTAAAGCGTTTTTAGAACAGATTATTTGATATCTGCACTAGTTCCATATGCGTGCACGAGATCTCTCCTCCAGAGGCAAATAAATATAGATTCCTGCAGCTATTCTAACAGATTTACTGATATAAGATGCAATCATCAAAGTCAGAAGTCAATGTATTTTTCCTGCACTGCCAAGCCGCACCTACAGAGTTTATGTTTCTCTTTAAAAAAATGAATGTTAGTAAATAAAAATCAGTGAAAGTGACTTTAGCCTAGACACAAACAAATCTTCCCTTGCCCTAGTCAGTTTCAGCCACCCCTCGTTGGTGCACACCTCTCGTGTGTACCAACACAGAGAGAGCTTCCATCCGGGTGGAATCACGCTGCTTTGCCCTCTATTTACCAACACCTGTCTCCAGTAAAGCCCAGGGCTTTTATCCCCAGGTTTGCACAAAGCAGAAGAAAACTAATATAAAATAAGAGTGACCCACCGCCCAGCTGGGCTCGCCTCAGGGGCACTCCTGTCCCGTACCCGCGGGGAAAGGCAGACCCCCGGAGCCCACACACAACCCACACACCGGGCTCGGCCCCACACACAACCCACACACCGGGCTCCCATCCCACCGGTCCGCCAAACCCTCCGGAGGCTCCCGCCGGAGGGGCCATCTCCCCCACCCGCCTTTCACGCAGAGCCCAGGGGAGGCCCCGCAGCAGCGTGGCGGGGGCGGGACGGCAGCAGAGACGGGCCGGGGAGAGGACCCGGCCGTCGCCGCCCGCAACCAGCCAGGGGAAGAGGAGGAAGGGCTCACCAGCGAACCCCGGCCGCTTACCACTGCCCGCCTCAGCTGGGCTCCGCCATCCCGGCTCCCTCGCCCCGCCTCAAGGCCCCGCCACGCGCAGCAGCAGCAGCAGCAGCAGCAGCAGCGCCAGCCCCACGACGGCGGCCGGCGGCGCCCAAACTCGTCCGCCCGGGCTCAGCCTCGCCGGAGCGGGGGCGGAGCGGAGCGGCGGGGACCTCAGGCCTGCCGGGCTCGGCTGCCAGAGCGCTGCGGGGGCAGAGGGGGTGTTCCATAACCGTGTCCGGCGCTCCCCTCGCTCCTTTCGCCGGTGGGCTGCCCTACGGGAGGGAAGGGCAGACGGGGGTGGGGGGGGGGGGCGGCCGTTAGAGCTTCTAACGGCTCCCCCGCGCGCCAGGCCCTCAGCGAGGGGAGAGAAGCGGGGAGCGGCGTCGCTTCCACCGCTCAGGAAGAAAAAATATAAAAATGGAGCGGCCCTGCCTTCATCCCCTGTAAGCCGTAAGGGGCCGGCTGTGGGGGGAAGGAGGGGGAGGACACCGCGCTACCGGCTGTGCGACCCGGAGCCGGGACCGGGAGGTGGCCCGGGGTGGTCTCTTGAGAGGGATAACCGGCTGCGGGGGCTCCTCGCCCTCAGAGGGTCCCGGAGCCGCTTTGTTGAGGCTGGGGGTGTAGGGAGCGAGGATCCGCAGGGCATTGGAGCTGCCCGGGGGTCCCGGGGGGGGGGCTGCGGGTGAAGCCGCGAAGCTGGAAACGGGATTTCCCTCCGTCCCCGGCCGTAAGCGGGGCGGGGGCACCGAGACACCACGCGTCCTCCCCACTCCAGTTTCCCCAGTCCCTGGAGACTCCCCGTAAGCTTAATTGAACATTAAGTCCAGCAGGACGTACCCGCTGGAAACAGTTGGATTCCGGTGTATCTGAATCCAAATGATGAGCTGTTGTGAGGCCGGTCACAAGCGGTGTGCCTCAGGGCTCAGTGTTGGGACCATTTCTGTTTAACATCTTTACTGATGGTCTCGATTAGGACATAGGATGTATCATCAGCAAGTTCGCAGGTGACACCAAGTTAAGCAGGGGTGTTGATTCCCAGGAGGATAGGGAAGCCCTACAGAGAGACTTAGATAGATTGGATCACTGGGCCAACATCAATGGAATGAGTTTCAACAAGGGCAAGTGCCAGGTCCTGCACTTGGGCCACAATAACCCCATGCAGCGCTACAGGCTGGGGGAAGTGTGGCTGGAGCTGCCTGGAGGAAAGAGACCTGGGGGTTCTAGTTGACAAGCGGCTGAATATGAGCCGGCAGTGTGCCCAGGGGGGCAAGAAAGCCAATGGCATCCTGGCTTGTATTAGAAATACCGTGACCAGCAGAAGTAGGGAGGTGATTGTGCCCCTGTACTCAGCACTGGTGAGGCCACACCTCGAGTATTGTGTCCAGTTTTGGGCACCTCAATCCAAGAGAGATATCGAGGTGCTGGAGCGGGGGCAGAGGAGGGCAACGAAGCTGGTGAGGGGGCTGGAAAACAAATCGTATGAGGAGCAGCTGAGGGAGTTGGGACTGTTTAGTATGAGGAAGAGGAGGCTGAGGGGAGACCTCACCACTCTCTACAAATACTTGAAAGGACACTGTAGAGAGGTTGGTGCTGGTCTCTTCTCACAGGTAATTAATGACAGAATGAGAGGGAATGGCTTCAAGCTCCAACAGGGTAGGTTTAGACTGAACATTAGGAAAGAATTTTTCACAGAAAGAGTGGTCAGACACTGGAATAGGCTGCCCAGGGAGGTGGTTGAGTCACCATCCTTGGATGAGTTTAAGAGTCGTTTAGATGTGGTGTTGGGGGATATGGTGTAGGGGAGGACTTTGTAGAGTAGGGTAGATGGTTGGACTCAATGATCCCAAGGGTCTCTTCCAACCTAGACGATTCTATGATTCTATTTATTCCGGTTGCAGCAACAACACTTTTTTATTTTCAGTCGCTAATTCTCTCAAAATACAATGCTTTTGTAACAGCAACTACAAAAGTAGCAGAAAAGTAGCAACTTTTCTGTTTAGTCTTGAAGGCACAGGTCAAAATATTTAACATTAGGTGGCTAAAGTTTCTGGAGATGCTTTTCCCCCAGTTTAGCGGTCATAGCAACTTTTCTGATAAATATTTTGGAAGACGTTAGTCTGGGTGTTTAAACTTGGATGGCTAAAGCTAGGGCTCTAAGCAGACGGATTGTTAAGTGTATACCTTCGTTACTCATCAAATGCTATAGATGGCGAGCATAATATTATTGCTTTGCTTTTAATATACACAGGTAACCTAAAAAGTTTACTCCATCTTTAACATACTTATTTTATATTGGGTGGCATACTTTGGAATATAAAAATCGCCATGTCTTGTAACTGAATTTTGAACATTACGTTGCTTTCTTTAGAAGGAGCCTTTGGAATCATTATTTTATTCTTCAGGTAACAGATTATAGTCTCCCTCAAACTGGAAGGATAGTGGATGAAAGCCCTGAGTGTATTCCATAATAGGCCTATTGGTCAGCTAGCAGATAAAACCTGGCAACTTCTACCTATGAATACCACTTCTTCTCCCTCTTCTTTTTCTTAAAAAACTGGTGCCTATTTTATGTCAGACTAATCTGACTACGTTCACAGGCAAAAAAAAAAAAAAAAAAAAAAAAAAAAAAAAAAAAAAAAAAAATTTTCACTTGGAACAACAACATTTGGACAGCCCCAAGGATAGCAATTGCAGTAATCATGAAAAAGTAATACTTTGTGCTTCTGTAGTCCCTCTCATCCAAGCATCTCGTGGTGCTTTGCAAACGCTGGCCCTGATCCTGCCCGTGCACATGGATCATCCAACACAGGAATTTATTCCACCGGGTTCAGGAAAGGGGGAGTGGGGTTTAATATTTTTCCTAGAACTTTTTTTTTTTTTTTTTTTTTTTTTTTTTTTTTTTTTTCAGTGTAAAAAGAAAAAAAAAAAAAAAAAAAAAAAAAGAAAAAAAGAAAAAGATAACAATGAGAACAAAGTAACAGGAGAGATTTGAAGAGGAAAATTGGGGCAGAAAGAAACAAGCACTTCATTTAGATCAGTGTTTAAGAACAAATCATTGTGGACAGGACTGAGCACTATTAATATCACCCTGGCCTCCTGATAGAGTCGTTGTTACAGCTTAAGATACATTTGCCTTTGCGATTGGTCTTTGTTTAAGCACACAATTGCTTTTCAGAGATACTCTCAGTGAGACAGTGTGATATGTAATTCATTATTTTAGCCCAAAAGAAAGAGGGGGAAAACATCTTAAACTCAGTAGACACATTAATCTATTTTAGATACCGTCCTTCATAGTATGGTGTAAGTAGTCCTTAGTGTGTTACCAATCAGTATTTTAACTGCTTCCTGATAAGGTTAACTGTTCTCTTCCTTTTTCTTTTCAGTTTCCCATATACAGATTTCTAAGTATTTCCCATGCACTCCTTGAACTGAATATCCCTGTCCTGAGAGCACTGCACTTACCCCACGGTTATCTTGACTAGCCAAGTGTTACTGCTCTGGTTAAACAAAACTGGGCAGACATCAGTGCTGTTTTATGTTTGACTAAAAAAGCAAAGCGCAAGTAGCCTGCCCAGAAATCTCCAGATGGCCGTGATTGATAAACCACTACTTGTTAAGGGAAGGCAGTGAGCTCCAAGAGCAGGTCCCAGGCAGGAATAACCCCGGAGTCCCGTACCTAGTGACATAAATAGGCCGTGCTGATCAGTTTCAGCATGATCCAGCAGAGTCCTTACTTTGTCCCACTGCCAAGAGTTCATAGTATCAAGCACCCCTTGTGCCAGCACACTCCTATTCAGTTCTAGGGTGTAGCCACACCGTGGAAGGCACCCTTTAAGTGCTTTTGAAGCTCACAAATCTAAATTGCTTTGTAATATATTCATAATAGCAAACCAAGCTGCACACAGACTGCTGGTAGTGCAGCAGGCAGCAAGGGAAGCAGATGATTCCCTATCACCTCTTGACCACAGGAAGAGAGTTTATCTATACCCATCTGGGTAAACTGCATTTTAAGATACAGTGGCTGGCAGTACAACTCACACTACTGGCCTTTTATAGACTGGTAGCATAGATGCTCCAGTTCCTTGAATATCCAAATAAGAGCTTTAGAATACGTCCTTCCCAAGTTGTCTGCATACTGTACTTCCTACTCTTCAGGAGTGGTAGACTCGAAGACACTAGCCTTGAGCTGGGTTACCACATTGTCACTACAGATTTTGTAGGAGTAGGTGGTTGGAAAAAACAAAAAACTACTAGGAAAATAAAATACAAACCTCAATTTTAGCTCCTGGTTAGTAGAAGATACATCCTTAGTTGTTCCAGAGCATCTCAGCTGGTGTTCTTAGGGAAGAGGAACAGCCAGGGATGCGGGAGCCCAGTTTTTATATGATAGCCTTATTCTCTGATAACTAACACGCAGTTCTGGGTGGAAAAGTAAGTGGGAAGGCATGCAGGAAAAAAAAATGGGTGAGTCCTAAAGTTAGGAACAAGAAATTAGATTTCTCCTTCCATTCCTACAGAATGTGGCTGCTCATTTGTCAGCAACATTCAGCGCCACTCAGAATTGATAGCCACCCTTTTTTTCTGTTAGATATGACACTTTCTCCCTTTCAAGTTTTAGAAAGGAAAAAGTGGATGAAATTTAATAAAGGCAACGCATTCTGCTGATCTTTGCTTAGCTGTAGGGTAATGTGCAGGCAGATCTTCCTTCAGCAAGAAAAGCAAAATGGGGAGATGAATTCTACTTGTTTATGCTCTTGTTAATATCACTCCATTGATTTTGCTGTACAGGCTTTTGGTTCACTTGATCTTGAGAACTGTTGGCATTGGAGCACCAAAGGTATTGTGCGTAACTGTTACATACAGAAAAAATAGGCATATACTGCTAAATTTGGTGCTTCTAAACATGTAGCAATGTCTTGTCCTACAAAAAGTACCCTGTCTTTCATACTTTCTACAACAAAAATGTCCATATCTGCATCAAGACAGTGGTGTAATTTGCTCTTTCAGGTGTAAATCAAAAAGAATAGAAAGCGATGGTGTCTGTCCTTTGTAGGTGGAGGAGTTCTCACCATAGATTCAAGGACAGGAACCTCTTTTTCTCCCCCTTTTTAAAAACTCCTCTCCTGTGTGTAAAGGAGCGGGTAGTTGCCTATCACTCAGGCCAGTTTTGACAGATTTCTTAGAATCCTTTTCCATCTGCTGGCAGCCAAGGAATGCAGGCCCCAATAAAACCTCCCTGAAACTAATATTTGTACGCTGAATAATGCTGAGGTACACCATGCTAGCTCAGGGGAGCAGAATTAAGTGTTTTAACTGGCTGAGTTTTTTTCCTCCTGCAAGGCAGCACATCCAAAGTTTACAAAGTAGATACAGAAAGCAGAAGGAAGAGGAGAGAAAATGACATGGAAACTGGCAATCAGTAGCAGATTGTAGGGGCGAATAAAAAGTGCTTATGGCAGCCGTAGGAGAGAGAAACTGAGGACAGGCCAGGGCACTATGACAGATAGGACAGAAAGAGGACATTTATTGTCATCTCTTCTTCAAAAGGAGAGCAGAGAACGCAGTCCTCTAGCCCTCCTTTATTATTTATTTGGAATGTAGAAGAACGGAGGATCTTTTCTGTAATCTTCCCCTCAGTACTGCTGTGTGCAGAAGTTAGTGAATAGACAGGTGCATAAAGATAAAATAGTTGCCTTCTTGTGTGCAGGAAAGATGACAAGACACCTATGACTTGCTCAGAACTATAGCATTTAAGCAAACAACCATATTATTGTGATTTTATTATCCTGAGGGTTTTGTTTGTTTGTTTTAGTAATTGATTGCCATGTATCTAGACAAGTGCAGCTCCAAGGCCAGAAAGGGAGTACAAGTTTGTAAACGCATACATAGCTGGTTCAAGAGACAGTTGGAGGTGTCTCAGGTAAACAGAACTTCTTTTCAAAGCTCTGGAGAGCTCAAGAGACTGCTGGACAGCTATCAGCAGAAAGGTTAAACAGATCCTCAATAATTGCAGTCATGTCCTTTAATCCTAGAATAACCGAATTTGCAAGGAGTCTGTTCATAATTCATATGGGGGGAATAAATAAAAATAAACCTGTGTTATCCTAACCTCTGGTTCTCCTACTATGTCTCTTTACGTGTGTCTGTTTTATTCTTGTTTCACTGTGGCTTAAAAAAAACCCCACTAAACTTATCGTTAGCATAATAAAAAATTGGAATTGAAACTTATCTGGTGTCAAATGAGTGTGAGCACTAATAATGAAAATAGTAACAGCTACGTTCCAAGAAACAGCGTGATAGGCACCAAGAGTAAGAATCATTTCAAAAGCTGTACACAGATCTAAACTCTTTAAAAAATCCTTTTTATTGATTCATTACCATACAAAATTTATTCAAATTACATCCATTTGAAGTGGTAAGATCACAGCTAGAGAACAGGTCATCCTTTAATAAATCTATTTACAAAACTCACCATAAAAGCTTTTTTTGTTGTTTTTGGTTTTTTTACAGTATTTTACAGAGGTTTTTTTTTTTTTTATAAACTAGCATACAATGCAAAGCTAAGTTAGATTAGTATTTTGCCCACGCACATTGGGACAAGTGTTTTAATTTGTACAAAAAAAGATGGTATTTGTTAGTCTTCATTTTTTCTTCCCCCGCAAAAGTGCCCCTTTGTCTTGCAAATCTTCATGCTCACACAACTTTTACTTTCCTCTTCCACAAGACGAAAACTTTAAATACTACAATTTTATTTACAGATCCACATCTAAAAAAACTCTTAAAAAAATTACAAACCAGCTAGAAAATATTCTGGCAGTGTTTACAAATTAATTCTATTGTACAAAACTGCTAGATAACTAAAGTGTGAGTTGAGAACATACATCAACTTAAATACAACTGCTGAATGATCTATGCACACATTTGTACATATAAACACACACTTAACACTGTTTAACAGTTCTTTACGTGTTGCCCTTTATACATGTTATATTCCAAAGCTCACACAGTCATACAGTGTTCTTGTTAGTACTGTGACTTCTGGCCTGTTCGTGTGTGAGCTTTCATAGCAGCAACTCAACGGTACCAGAAAACCTGCGTACGTAATATTCTACTACAGTACAAATAGTACTAATTTTCTGAGTATGTCAGATAAGTACAACAGTAATGCAAACAAAAGGATTATATGGGCATCATCTAATCAACATTAATTTAGCCCAGAACATGGCAACATATTTTACACTCAAGAAAAAAAAAAAAAAAAAAAAAAAAAAAAAAAAAAAAAAGAAAAATTATTTAAGACTTCTTAGAATTCCTCTCACGTTCAAAAAATAAATATTGGTACTATACTATACTACCAAAGATCTTCAAAAAATAAATGCAATTCATTTGATGTGGTACTTACAGTTATGTACTTTGGAAAAAAAAAATTAGTTCCATTTTGCTGGCGAAGAGAATTATAAAAAGCTGTAAGCAGAGGAAGCTAACCCACTGAGATAAATATGATATATCCAACAAACAAAGCTTGGCAGAAGTGTTTTCCATAGAGGGAAAAACCCACAGTGCATCTCTAGTAGGCACTTAACACAAAGCCCCACTTAGTACCACAAAAATTTATGTACCAGTTCTAATGCACATCGGGGGCAGTGAAATTGAACTGTGCATCTTCGTTCTAGTTTAAAAAAACAACCAACAAAACCTACTTTCACACACACACGCGCGCACACAAGCATTTTTAAAAATCTGCGATTACTATGAGAAGTGGCAGAACTTCATACTTTTCAATATTTGCAATATACACTACATTTACAGTGTATTTTTTTTTTTCTATTAAAAGCTTTTAAGGACATAAGTATTTGACCTCATAATGAGACATATACACAGCTCAAAATGAGCGTTATGACAGCAATTTAAACATTCCTACAAAGTAGCTGAAGAATCCCATTTCACTCTCTTGCATTACTTCATATTTACGGTCACTGCGGGTAGGATCCGTGTTGCGACACCCAAAAGACATGCGTTCTCTGCAGAAGGCACGGCCTGAAATACTATTATAAAATTGTTACTTAGGACTAAACCAGTTCCTCCAGCCCTTCTCCGTTAAGCCCACTGGTCACCGTAAGCAGAGACTGGGGGGGAGTGTGAAGACAAAACATTTAGGGTCACCTGCTTGCACTTGCCGAACTCACAAGGCGCCGGAGCTCAGGGTCAAGGAGAAGGCCTTTGCTGGAAGAACCTTCCCTTTGTCGTTTATGGTTATTTTAGGGAGTATTTAATTAAAATATCAGCGCTGTTCGAGAGCCTAGTTTATTTAATAATGCTATTTTATAGTAAGTAGGGGACAACTCTGAATGACGGCAGGTTTTTTGATTCCATTAAAACCACGCTTTAGGTACGGACAGCGTTTAAGAGAATCAGCTGTATATAAATTCATCCACCAACGAAGGAAGCTTCTCTAAATCGTAAGCATCAAAGAGGTCACTGATGCCTTCTTCATCCCCAAGGCTCAGCAAATAATCTTCCTGAAGCAGAGGAGGCAGCAAATTCACAAACGGTCCTTCAAAGTTTGAGGGAATTTGGTCCTCTGTCTGCTGGAGAAGGTTGGCTGGAGAAGCCAGTGGAGAGATTGTTGCCATATTTACTGAGCAGTCGCCTTGTCCTGAGTTAGCAGAAGCCACTTCTGTAAGAGGAGGGGGGGCAAAAATAAAGATGAGACGTTTAATCTCATTAGAAATATGAGACATAGATGAAACAAAGTAATCGCTGCATAAAGGGCTTTTCATAAACCATCATTCCAAGAAAAAATGGTCTCCATATAATTTCTAGCTTGTTTTTGATCTGTTACAAATGGCTTCTCGAAAACACCATGACTTTTTTACTGAAAAAATATTTTCCAACAACTACTGGGGAAAAAAAATAATAAAGTGTAGCAAGAGATGCCTATTTTTTGTTGGAATTCATAGTCAAAGTGAAAACTTTCTGGACAATGGATGCCATCAATGGCACCGCGTAGCTGCACGTACCAATACACAGAGATTTCTGCCTCTTGTGTTGAGACAAGTCTTTGCTGCTACTGTCCTAGTTGAAAATGCAAAAGGAACAAAATTGTTTGTTTCTTCAATATTGCATAAACTTATGTTACATAGTTCCATATGATATGCAAATATGAAACTTATTTTAAACAACCGATGCAGAAGAAAACATATTTCCTGCTACATAAAGCAGAAGGACACGGTGGAAAAAGGATGGCTTAGCTTTTCACTTCTTAGAAAAATAAAACAAAAAAAAAAAAAAAGAGCTGGATATCTGAAGTTCAAAATGAGATCCTGAATGAGAACATGAAGGAAGGCCATTAGCATCACAAAGAAATAATTTTACCTTTGGAAAAGGTTTTGGAAATATTCCCGTTGTGGTCCTGACTATAGGTTTTCATTGGACTGAGGGCATCGTTTTCCTCTGGGCACAGATAAACTTCAATGGGTCCTTGAGTACTAGATAAATGTATCAATGCACTCTGCTAACAAAACAAACATCAGTAGGGTGTTACACCAACAGACACAACAGAATATTGACAGTGTGGAGTAAATTCTTACTGGGGTGTGAGTGTTTGAATACATTTTTTACTAATGAAGAGAACCTGACATCCCCCCCTGCCCCGTGTATTTTTTTTTTTGAAGATGAGAAAGGCTTGGCTGATGCATCTCATAGACTGGAAGAGAACATCAAAGCTGTTCCCACCGTCTATAGTCCACAAATCTCAGAAGCTCAACATTCTCTGTGTTCTATCATAACCAGAGAGGTACAAAGGATTGAACTCCTAGCAATTTCTTACAACCATGACAACCTGGAGCATTCTGATGGAATGGAACTATGGGGATGCAAGTCATGGGTTTTATTCTTATTCATAACAATATTATTGGATTCATTTGTGTAACTGTTTCTGCTTAAAAGAATGCCAAAACATCCTTGTCAGTCACACAACAAAACCTGCAACACCAATTCACACTGAACTCAAATAGCTGTATCTAAGGTCACCTGTTTATCAGGGAAGTTTTTCAGAACAACAAGAACAACCCTGTGCCATTTTCTTCACCCAAACTTGTTTATGTAAGTCCTTCTGTCCCCTCAAGGCAGCAACTCTAATTTTGATGGTGTTTCTGAATAACAGGAGATTCAAAGTTGTCTCCAGAATTTACCTTTTCTTAACCTTCACGTATTGACATCCTTCTGTCCCCTCAAGGCAGCAACTCTAAATTTTGATGGTGCTTCTGAATAACAGAAGATCTGAAGTTGTCTCCAGAATTTACCTGTTCTTAACCTTCACATATTGACGCAGTACAACAAAATGACATAGATAGACAGATGGAAAATCTGCAAAGTTGCCCCAAGTTTTATGATGGAAAATCATAAGTGCCTCCAGTTAAGAATAAACCCACTCCAGCTGTATTGCATTAATAGTTTTTAAAAGTATGCGCACAGGCATTATATCCCTCTTTGCAGACTTGTTCCAAATACATTTTATTGTGCCCTTTGACAAAAGGTTCCTCGTATTATTTGCGTTCGGACAGTTATGTAGCATAATAGTCAGCATTTACGAGTACAGAGAACAAAAACTGAACAGGGATACCCCAGGGCAGAGAAAGCAGTTAAGGAGTACTTAGGGCAATGCTAAAGATAATTAGAAAAAAAGGAGATGGGAAGAGCAGGAGTTGGAGAAGGTACTGCTGAGTGACTGAGGTATGCAAAAAAGGACACTGAAATGTAACTGCAAATGAGGGAAATAGGACTTCTACTGCCTGCAGCTGAACGTTACATGTGTAAGTTGGGCATAGAGGATAAGGGAGGTCTAGGCACTAGCTTTAATGATGGTGTGCATCTCTCTCTACCCGCCTGATTTCTAAAAAAAAAAAAAAAAAAAATCAAAGCATAATGCCCAGGGGAAACAAACAGGAAAGCAAGCAGTGATAACAGCATATATTTATGGGTACTGACAAAAGATATCCCTTCCTCACTGCAGCAAAAGTGATTTATTCTTCCAAAACCTGCACCTAGGTTCAAAGGGGGAATTAAGGACAAAAGTAGGGGGGGGGGGAAAAGCAGGGATGCAAACTGTAACAGGGCTAAGGAAGTGAAGAGTAATCTTAGTAAAAGGAATGACAGAGCATCTGGAGTCTGTTCCTGCCCGCCCAGGAGCAGGTGGCCCTGGGCTCAGTGGAACCAGCCCAAGAGCAGGGATGAGGGAATAACGTAGAGGTATGAACACAGCAGGGAGGTTCCTGAGGTCTGGCCCTATGAGTAATTGCTCCTTGAGAGAAGAAATTGGGTAAATTGTTGAATCTCTAAAGCAGCAGCTGGTGCAAATTATTTACGTTTGCCCAACATACTTGGGTCTGTCGTAACAACTGAGGATTGTAATGCAGCTCACTTTTGCCACAGAGAAATAAAATCCCAGGAGCAGCTGAACCATGTGGTTCATAAACCATAAGAGGAATGGCAAAAAAGTAAAGCTACTTCCTGAGGAGATCTTCAAAGAAAAGCCACCTGTAGCATTTGTCCCTGCAACTGTGACATCAGGTAAGGGAAGGGAGAAGCAGCTAAGTTACCCTAGACATCTTACCTGGGATGTGGAAAAGAAACAAAACGAGGATGAAAGAACAAGAGCCAGACATCTCGTATACAAAAGCTGGCACTCAGAGAGACTGCGGCTTGAGCAGCAAGGGGCAACAGCAGAGGGATGCAGATGAGCACAGACAGCTTCAGAAATAAAAGTACTTACTATAAAATAGGAAAAGAAAAGCCCCATCCCCTATGGACTTTTTGATAGTAAACAAGAAGTGCACTAGCAGAACGCACCAAGTTTTACACAGGAAATCAGTGTCAATGAAACAAAGATGATGACGGAAGGAGGAAGGGCAAGAATAGATTTTATGAGTAAAACACAAGTTTCTACAATAACTGTGAAAAGAAAATCCTACATGAAAACATGTCCCAATAAATTAGGATATCAGTGACGTGAGTCATCAAGATGCTTAAGGCATTGAGCTACCCATGAACTTTATAACTAAAACTACATAAAGCTAAAAAAAATAAAAAGAGCTCAATCTCTTAAGAGATTTTACATGGTTACAAAGGAAGAGCTCTTCTTTACGTAAAGTAGGACAAAAGAGAATAATCTGTAAATAGTGTGGATTACTCTGAAGGAAAGCTGGAATTGAGAGAAAAGAAACAAGTAACGATTGCTTTGTGTAAAATGATTTTTAAAGATTCCCCCTTTAAAAAAAAACCAAACCTCCAAACTTTGTAAAACAGATGAATGTAGGACTTTATGCCAGTATAATCCAACTTGGGCATCAGTTACTGCAGTAAGACTCACAACACATTTGCTCCATCTATAGAAATACAACAAGTTGGCAGGAAAAGCCAGTTCTCCTTACCTCCACCGGGTCAGGCACTTCAAGTCTTGTTTCTGGAGGAGCTTTCACAACTATAACAGTTTGGTCTTTAAGGCCACTAATTTTTCGGATATCTTGATACGTGACATAAGCTAATGTAATCACTGTTAAGGAATTTTCCAACACAGCTTATAATATATTCAGGCTTTTGGAAGAGGTAGAATTCTTTCAATTATTTTTCCATTTTCTCATGGCTCCAGTGTTCTTCAGCCCAAGTTTTCTATTCTCTACATGGGTTGTGGTTGCAGTGAAACTGCCTGAGAATCTCCCTTTTTATCTAACAGCTGGGGCCACCACCGAGTGACAAAAGGGATTTCCCTATGCCAAGTCCTTCTCTCTCTTCTCCTTTACACACGTAAAGCAACATAAGCTAAAGCTCAACAACCCGCAATTACACACAGACTGGATGAAGCAAAATTCTTTACACACTTGCTATGAAAACACAGAGAACTGGAAATCACAGCAAAAAATGTAAAGGAATTTAGAGGTACATGTTGTAAAAGCACATACGCAATATATTTTTGAAGTCATCAATAAAATAATAATTTCAATTTTCAATTGGAGTTTTAAAAACCATTTATATATTCATATATTTATTTATTCATTTATATTTTAAGATTTTATTTCAAAAATCTGCTTACACAGCTACTTTAAACAATTTGACAGTGCAGAAAGTTGATTTTTGCATAAGCAGGGAACGAATATGAGTATTCTGCTGGTCAACACGAATCTGTCCAAATCAACGTGAGCGTTTTGGTGGGTCCTCGCGTGGTGGTGCCTCACGTACTGACCCGTGTGACCGAGGTGTCACAGAGCTTTTGGTTGCAAACTGTGAAACAGCCACGATCACACGCAAGCACTTCCAGCACTTTAGTTTTCCCTTCCGTGAACTATCTAGCATATTTATGCCACAGAAATAAAGAGCCTAATTTATTATTATACTTTTTTTTCAGGGGGAAGGGGGTGTAAATGTGAATAATTTTGGTAAATGGCTACTGTTGCCGTACAGTAAGACAAACTGCCCGAGGTCAAAACGCCAAGACATTTCACATCTGACTTGGACCAAATGCCAAGTAACAGGTCAGGGGGCAAAGCGACAGGTCAGCTTTCAGGGAAATGGCTTTCATCAGGGCTTTTACCGCTCCTTTAGAAAGGTTTAGTAAGGCTTGTACAGGCAGAGTACAAATTACAGCAACGGTGGCTGTCACTATATGAACAAAGGAAAGGCTTTCAACAAGAATCATCCTTGCTGTAGCTAAAAGCTCCCCATGCTCATGCTGGGCATATCCCAAAACACTCGAGGTAGCGATGAGTTACCGTCTGATTCTTTATATAAAGGAGATGGGGAAGCACACTCCTGGGAAACACACAGCGTTTTGGCACTACCTAACCACGAGGAAAAAGAAAAACATTTTCAAAAGCAGCAACTTCACCTTTAGAGATTAAGCAAAAGGCTTCTCAGCTCTGTGAGTGTTGGGTAGGTCACCTCATGTCACACCTTGGTGAGGTGAGCAGAAGACCATACCAGGATGCTCTCAGATTCATCCCCAGGTTTCATGCTTCCACATTCCTTTCTCAATAATGGCTACTATTATCAGGAAACTTAACGTGAGGTGAGCAGAAGACCATACCAGGATGCTCCCGGATTCATCCCCAGGTTTCACACTTCCACATTGCTTTCTCAATAATGGCTACTATTATCAGTAAACTTAAGAGTCACAGAAGGATTTGGGGAATACACCCTCCTAAATCCAAAAGCATGAGGCCAAGGTGCTGCTAATGCTGCTCCCCACCCCCAGGGCAGGGAACTCTACCACAGCAAACAGCACTAGAAATATGGAGAATTTTAATGCTCGGCTTTGTTCTGCTTAAATCCCTTCGTGGATCAAGGCAGTGCTGACCCTACTCCCTATGCCACTCGATGGTCTTGCTTTCATATGTGTTGAGATGCAAGCACAATCAAAAGACAGTATTTACACAGCTCACATCACATTTCACTGACTCTCCTGTAGCTATTTCCTACCCTTCAAAACATAAGATCAAGTCCACCTTATTAGATGCTCTTTACAAACTACTGTTAGAAGTAATAAAAGTTTTCACAACAGAGTTTAATAAACACTCTCTTCTGTTGCTCATAGGTGGAAAATGTAGTGAAAATAAGAATTTCTTGCTTAAAAGCAGTATTTGCAGTCAATATACCGGAAGTCGTATGAACCTTACACAAATGAGCTCTGCTATTACATCAAATAATGAAGCCTAACCCTATGCCACTCGATGGTCTTGCTTTCATACACATTGAGATGCAAGCACAACCAAAAGACAGTATTTACACAGCTCACATCACATTTCACTGACTCTCCTGTAGCTATTTCCTACCCTTCAAAACATAAGATCAAGTCCACCTTATTAGATGCTCTTTACAAACTACTGTTAGAAGTAATAAAAGTTTTCACAACAGAGTTTAATAAACACTCTCTTCTGTTGCTCATAGGTGGAAAATGTAGTGAAAATAAGAATTTCTTGCTTAAAAGCAGTATTTGCAGTCAATATACCGGAAGTCGTATGAACCTTACACAAATGAGCTCTGCTATTACATCAAATAATGAAGCCTAAAATAGACATTTTGAGAGCTCATAAAACCTTTATCTATATTTTATTATGTATTTTCCTCTCTGTGTCTGTTATGTATACACGTCAGTTTAATGTAAAAAAAATAAAAATAATCAAGTAATGAGTACACACACACACAAGTCTTTGTTACCCTGGCAAAGACTTTGTCTAGTGCCTTCATAATTACTGCACACATAAAAATGGGGTTTGCCATGGGCTCAAGAGTCAGAAAAGCACAGGATTTTGATGTTGTCACTCATGAATCAGCTAAATTCTTGGTTTTACTGTATGTGAACATGAATGTGAATGGGCTCCTTCATAGATTCTCTAATAAGAAGAATCTAAAAATTCATTGCAAGTTTCATACTAAACTGGCTCCCAAGTTTATTTTCCTCTCTGTGTCTGTTATGTATACACGTCAGTTTAATGTAAAAAAAATAAAAATAATCCTCTGCTATTACATCAAATAATGAAGCCTAAAATAGACATTTTGAGAGCTCATAAAACCTGTATCTATGATATTTTATTATAGATTCTCTAATAAGAAGAATCTAAAAATTCATTGCAAGTTTCATACTAAACTGGCTCCCAAGTTTATTTTCCTCTCTGTGTCTATTATGTATACATGTCAGTTTAATGTAAAAAAATAAAAATAAGTAATGAGTACACACACACACAAGTCTTTGTTACCCTGGCAAAGACTTTGTCTAGTGCCTTCATAATTACTGCACACATAAAAATGGGGTTTGCCATGGGCTCAAGAGTCAGAAAAGCACAGGATTTTGATGTTGTCACTCATGAATCAGCTAAATTCTTGGTTTTACTGTATGTGAACATGAATGTGAATGGGCTCCTTCATACCTTTTTCTCTCTTTTTTTTTTTTTTTGACATTCCAGAAGCATTACAGGTGCAAGTGGCTTAAATGACTTTTATATAGAACTACATTAAAACCCGTTATCCAACCTCTGGAAACGTCTGATGCTTCGTATCACATTACTCACAGGAATCCTCTTAGCACTAGAGCAGCACGGCAAGAAGAAGACCGACCACTTTTGAGGTCTTGGCGAAAAGGATATCTCTGATTCTCCGAGTCCTCTGTTAGCAGCTTGAGGTCCAGGGTGCAGCTTTGGATTAGCTCATCCAGTTTCTTCTCTTCCTGAGTCAGTTCGGTCACCTCCTTCGTGAGGCCTTGACGCTGTGCCAACATGCCACCGTCCTCCGACAGGCTGCAGCCCCTGCGGATACAAGGAAGGAAGACACCCTTTTGGCATTTGTAAACCTTGTCCCCGCACTACGGGAAAGGGAAGGGGCAGGGTTTCACACCACAGCCCAAGTCCTTCGCCCCCCTTTCTCCCTACACCTGCCCGTAGCGAGTCAACATCAACGACGCTTTCCAGAAAAAGCATCTTTTTCTCATGACAACACATTTTGGAACTGCCAGCAAGATGGAAAAGTCGAATATCTCTAAGAGCTTACAAAATCTTGCTTTTAACTCCCCTCTCTGCTAACACCCTGAAAAAGACCAAGGAAGGCAGTAGAGATGTGTACCCAAAAACTTACTCCACTTGCACAAGCAAATGAGTTAATCCAGTATCCAGACAAAACGCTGGGTTCTAATTTCCCTGACAAATGCTATTTATACACTGAAAACTTGTCTTAACAGAAAAAGAAAGCTTTATCCTGACAGAAGGCATTTTGGATGACTGCTTGGAGCAAAGTGTTAGAATGGAAGGTGGGAGAAGAAAACCACTGCTGGTCTGTGACAGCGAAATCAGCCAGCAGGAATGGAAAAGGATAATGAATACTCACATCCACTGAATGTTGTTTTTGGATTTTTTCTTAATGAGATGGATGCCTTCCAGTACATTGGTGATATCGTAAATCCTCCTTTTTTGCACCTTGAGGACCTCAGCCGCTCTGTTCAAATCTAAGACCCCATCAGGAGATTGGCTCAGCAACTGAATGAACTTCTTTGTAAGAAGGCCAAGTGATGTATCATACCGAGTCTTTTCTGAAGGAGATTTTGGGGCTTGGAAAGGAAGAAAAAAAACCAAACCCAGATAAATCAAGTTTCTCCTTTTGGTTCCGAAAGCAGCATCCAGAAATGAAAGGATACATGTTACAGATATTTCTTTCATTTTTACTAGAGAAATCTCTCAAACCTCTGCATTAAGACACAACTTACCACTGGGTATTTATTTGTATTTCAAGATGTACTTTTCCAAAAGTCACAGGTACATGAGCAAATACATACATTTTTTAAAATGCAAATATTTCCATTAGTCTGACGGATACATATAGCAATATTCTACTTAGGCTTTCACTAGGTGAATTCTTAATAGTATTTTTAGTATCTATTTATCCTGGCAGCAACACCAAAAATTCCCCTATGATGGTCCTTCATTGGGCTGATACCCAGCTCTCACCAGGGTTTGATTTTCCCCTCTTGTAAGGTGTTTCACATGCAATTAAGCAGGACTTAGGTGTAATTCAGTGGGTGAAGACAATGACAGATTCCACCAGCATCAGACTCCACGTGTACAGAAAATTCCAGTGAATTAGAGGACATTGACACAAGATGCAATTTATAATCATCATTTCTCCACAACCAAACAATGCGAGAGTATCCACTTCTTTTGAATTAGAGGTCAGCAAACAGCTTGGATCATACTAGACAACTTGCTGTTTCCATGCACAAGTGTAGCAACTATGTACTTCACAGTTGAGCTTTTAAGAGTTTAAATGCATAGATCACAATAATTTCTAATTCTCAATGTTCAAAGCCTTTGTGTCAAGGTCGGTATTAGAAGTCTACTGGGTTGAAAGTTTCCCTGTTAGCAAAACCTTTACTGTACATCTCAAACCTTTCACTTGCTTCAGGTGGGGTCAAACATTATGCAGGATGGATCTTAGGCTGATCTGGTGGTCATTTTCATGTTTTCAAGGTTCAGGTCCCACACTTAACTGCAGAAGTCAGTCAAAACTGAAATCCTACCTGAAAGTGAACCTTTAGATTACCCTGAAATATTCTGAAGAATACGATGGCTTTTCGATGAAAATGAAGTCATTGCCTGTTTGCAACGAGAACCTGCCAAATCTCATTTTTTGGTAGATTCGGGGCTTGTCTGCATTGGGACATGGAGGAATATCCACATCAGTAAGGTGTCCTTCTGAATTTAGAGCAGGGGTTTTTTTTTTTGGTTTTAGAGCAGTTTTATTTGGTTTTCCTTTGGGTTTTAGAAAAGACTAAGAGGATCAGAGTGAGAAGGCAACTTGAAGCCACTTGACCCCCACCTAAAATGGCATGTGCTACTGGTCATGCAGCAGCAAGAAGTTCTCTGTAGGCAACTTGAAGCCACTTGACCCCCACCTAAAATGGCATGTGCTACTGGTCATGCAGCAAGAAGTTCTCTGGACAGCCTTATCAACACTGCAGCAGCATCCTATGCTCAGAGTGGTACTGAACTTGTGAGAACACACTCAACAATTTTTTTTTTAAAAAAACACCTTTGTTTAGCTTAATGAAGTTCAGTTTAATCAAAACAACTGTGGTTGTTTAACTTGTCCGATTTAAGTTTGTATCTTCGGTTAATTTCATTTTTTCCCCCATCTGCCTCAATAGAAACAAGACTTAGATTGGTGAGGAGGGACAAGCATCCCTTCACATCTCTTGCCCTCCCATCACTACCACTGCTCACCCAGCCCCTTCCTTTCCCCACTGCCCTCCTTCCACAAGCCAAATTCTGCTGAAAATCCCCCAGAACAAGATGGCAAGGCTACACCCCCCTCAGCTCCTGCTGCAAGAAACCTACTGCCCAAAGCAACACACAATGTGCAAAAATTAATACTTGCAGAAACTTCACAGTGGCAGCAATAATCCAGTCATACTGCAGGGAGAGAAGGAACATCAGAGCCCACAAAAAAAGCATTTAGTGTGTAACGCTGTTGGGGCACAGCTACCACTCTTTCCAAATCCCTGCCTGGGGGAAAGAGCCCTACAGCCCTGCTATAGCTTTAGCAGGGAAGGAGGAGTCTTGCTTGGAGCAAAGTGTTAGAATGGAAGGTGGGAGAAGAAAACCACTGCTGGTCTGTGACAGCGAAATCAGCCAGCAGGAATGGAAAAGGATAATGAATACTCACATCCACTGAATGTTGTTTTTGGATTTTTTCTTAATGAGATGGATGCCTTCCAGTACATTGGTGATATCGTAAATCCTCCTTTTTTGCACCTTGAGGACCTCAGCCGCTCTGTTCAAATCTAAGACCCCATCAGGAGATTGGCTCAGCAACTGAATGAACTTCTTTGTAAGAAGGCCAAGTGATGTATCATACCGAGTCTTTTCTGAAGGAGATTTTGGGGCTTGGAAAGGAAGAAAAAAAACCAAACCCAGATAAATCAAGTTTCTCCTTTTGGTTCCGAAAGCAGCATCCAGAAATGAAAGGATACATGTTACAGATATTTCTTTCATTTTTACTAGAGAAATCTCTCAAACCTCTGCATTAAGACACAACTTACCACTGGGTATTTATTTGTATTTCAAGATGTACTTTTCCAAAAGTCACAGGTACATGAGCAAATACATACATTTTTTAAAATGCAAATATTTCCATTAGTCTGACGGATACATATAGCAATATTCTACTTAGGCTTTCACTAGGTGAATTCTTAATAGTATTTTTAGTATCTATTTATCCTGGCAGCAACACCAAAAATTCCCCTATGATGGTCCTTCATTGGGCTGATACCCAGCTCTCACCAGGGTTTGATTTTCCCCTCTTGTAAGGTGTTTCACATGCAATTAAGCAGGACTTAGGTGTAATTCAGTGGGTGAAGACAATGACAGATTCCACCAGCATCAGACTCCACGTGTACAGAAAATTCCAGTGAATTAGAGGACATTGACACAAGATGCAATTTATAATCATCATTTCTCCACAACCAAACAATGCGAGAGTATCCACTTCTTTTGAATTAGAGGTCAGCAAACAGCTTGGATCATACTAGACAACTTGCTGTTTCCATGCACAAGTGTAGCAACTATGTACTTCACAGTTGAGCTTTTAAGAGTTTAAATGCATAGATCACAATAATTTCTAATTCTCAATGTTCAAAGCCTTTGTGTCAAGGTCGGTATTAGAAGTCTACTGGGTTGAAAGTTTCCCTGTTAGCAAAACCTTTACTGTACATCTCAAACCTTTCACTTGCTTCAGGTGGGGTCAAACATTATGCAGGATGGATCTTAGGCTGATCTGGTGGTCATTTTCATGTTTTCAAGGTTCAGGTCCCACACTTAACTGCAGAAGTCAGTCAAAACTGAAATCCTACCTGAAAGTGAACCTTTAGATTACCCTGAAATATTCTGAAGAATACGATGGCTTTTCGATGAAAATGAAGTCATTGCCTGTTTGCAACGAGAACCTGCCAAATCTCATTTTTTGGTAGATTCGGGGCTTGTCTGCATTGGGACATGGAGGAATATCCACATCAGTAAGGTGTCCTTCTGAATTTAGAGCAGGGGTTTTTTTTTTTGGTTTTAGAGCAGTTTTATTTGGTTTTCCTTTGGGTTTTAGAAAAGACTAAGAGGATCAGAGTGAGAAGGCAACTTGAAGCCACTTGACCCCCACCTAAAATGGCATGTGCTACTGGTCATGCAGCAAGAAGTTCTCTGGACAGCCTTATCAACACTGCAGCAGCATCCTATGCTCAGAGTGGTACTGAACTTGTGAGAACACACTCAACAATTTTTTTTTTAAAAAAACACCTTTGTTTAGCTTAATGAAGTTCAGTTTAATCAAAACAACTGTGGTTGTTTAACTTGTCCGATTTAAGTTTGTATCTTCGGTTAATTTCATTTTTTCCCCCATCTGCCTCAATAGAAACAAGACTTAGACTGGTGAGGAGGGACAAGCATCCCTTCACATCTCTTGCCCTCCCATCACTACCACTGCTCACCCAGCCCCTTCCTTTCCCCACTGCCCTCCTTCCACAAGCCAAATTCTGCTGAAAATCCCCCAGAACAAGATGGCAAGGCTACACCCCCCTCAGCTCCTGCTGCAAGAAACCTACTGCCCAAAGCAACACACAATGTGCAAAAATTAATACTTGCAGAAACTTCACAGTGGCAGCAATAATCCAGTCATACTGCAGGGAGAGAAGGAACATCAGAGCCCACAAAAAAAGCATTTAGTGTGTAACGCTGTTGGGGCACAGCTACCACTCTTTCCAAATCCCTGCCTGGGGGAAAGAGCCCTACAGCCCTGCTATAGCTTTAGCAGGGAAGGAGGAGTCTGGCCTGATTAGCCTTGCCTAATAACTGCGTGTTTAATCCCATCAGAATATCTTGATTCCTCCGTGTCTATCTCTCCTGAGCATCCCCAGCTTCGTGTCCTCAGCTGAAGAGGTGGTCCTGGACAGAGGGACAGACCTGGCAGCCTCTCGGCAGCCCTGAATGGAGCGATGAAGGCTACAGACTCGTTGTGCCTCCCTGGCTGTGGGGTTGAGTGTGTTGCACGCACACCCAGGTGAGGAGAGTAACAAACACACTTCTCCAGCAGGGTAACGCCGCCTGTTATACTTATTTGCTCTGATCTCAAGCTGGTAAAATAAAAAAAAACTCTGTGCCACACAGCATGTCACCAGTGTCCTTACTTTTTGGACTGTCTGGACTTCTTGTTGCAGCTCTTCCTTTCCCCTTTGGAGTCTTTAGTCCTTCAGCAAGATACTGGTGGCCACTTTCTCCCAGCTCCAGCCTTCGTTTTGCCTGTTAAAAAAACCCCAACATATATTTCTTTTTATTAATGGATGTTAAGAAGTGTATTTCACTTTATCAAACACAATATTAGGGCTACAGGAAAGGCAGACAGCAGTGAACTTTTCACAGCAAGGTAGTGGTACAGGTTCGTACCCCATATTCACCAGAAGAGAATCTGAATATTTACTGGAATTTTAAGGTGGACTTAAATACATCACTCTCAAAGGCAAAGGTTGATATGGTTTTTATTTGAAAATTCAGCAACTTTTTTTTAATTTGAAAAGCTGAGTGACAGTTTTATGATCTCCTTCGGTCTAGTCTGGAACTTCTGAAGTACACATGAAAGATTTCTACCCCCAATTGAGTTGAGAACATTTCAGTTAAAAAAAGCAAAGAGCATCTCTAAAGCACACACACGTATGCACCCACACAGCTGCATTTCTGTTGGAAAACTCTTTATATCAATGTAAGTTTGTGCACAGGAAGTATTAGCACAAGTTATGTTTTTCCTTCACCATTTCAAAGGACAGCTTTGAGAGAACCAGCAATTTCCACTACTATAAAACTTCCATCAATGAAATACAAGAGGTGACACCAAGGAGCATGGGACAACTGTTCTCCTCTGCTTCTTGGTATTTTTTGTGCTCATTGAAAGCCCAGCCACTACGTTCATTTCACATTGACTAGCACATTTGCATTAAAGCTGTCTCCATAAAGGCAAGGTGGAGCAAAAGCACTGCCAAAAAGACAATGCCTGAAAATCAGCTGTAGATGTTGCTTCCAGCTCAAAATAAAGCTGTGCACACTTGCATAATAAAAATAATGAATGAAACTGTTAAACTAGGCAACACAGACAAATTGTAATGAAAACCACCACCAATATGAATTTCGTTCTTAGACAGAAAGACAATCTACTGACTTTGGAAACAATTCTATACCCTACTATACTACTCAAGTTACTGAAATTTAATCTGGGGATGTTTGTTATCCTAACAATAGAAAGAACATTACCTGGGAAGACACGGGAAAAGAAGAAAAAGAAGTTTTACGTCTAATGAAGTTTAGCCAAATAGCTGTTTCCAAAGAATGTTGTTTATTCAATTAGGTTGAATAATTCAGAGTATTGTATTTGCTTGCTCTTCAGACTTGCCCCAAAGGGTTGCATCATGTTCTGCTCCTCAGCGAGCCAAGATAAAATAATACATTCTGCTGTGGAGCTGCAGACAGATATTTCTGTATTGTGGATTTATCTTATGCGTTCTACTTTGTGTCTGCAAACTACAAAAGGCTCTAAATAAATTCATTTTTTATGCATTTACTTATGGAGAGCTAACTAACATCTTTGTGCCGGGCTCCACTTGCAAACCTCAAGCTTATTAAAAGGCGAGTTGAAGCAAACGAGAAGTTGGATAAGCCCACGGTGCAACAGCACGTGCAGAGTGCTCAAGCCACTGTTCTCTATATTTTGGGAAGGGGCAAGGTGCTAATTCGTCAGTAACAGAGCAAAACCAAACTGACTGCATCCTTCTAAGTGATGCAGGCAGTGGCTCCCAGTAGCCCATCACCAGCAGCTCCTACCAGCAGGGAACACCTCTGCTCCCCTCCCCGAGACACCGGCTCCCTAATCCAAGGACACAGATTTTATAAAGGTCAACTGTTAACAAAAGCATCCAGCTAATATGTTTAGCCAACGTAATTGGATTAAATTAAGATTACAGCTATTCCAGAGGGAGAAATACATTTCACACTTTTTTTTTTTTTTAAGTGGTTCTCCACCCGGAGATCTTTAAGAGAAAAGGAAGGAGGGGTGAAAAGGGAACAATTCAGGGCGTGAGAAGACTAGGCCAAAGGGATACAATTAAAGATAAAAGAGAATCTCAAAACCAGGTGTGAGGAGGAGGGGAAACGCTAAAGACTTAAAATCCAGAGATTTGCAGCGGCTCTCTCCATCAGAGCAGAGACTCTGGTTTGGACGACACATCAAAACTTGTTGCCTCAACTCGTCTGCCAGAGACAAACAATGGTATTTTGCCCCTACTTTTGCGGTTAAACACTTGCAACTTTCTCCTGTGAACTTCAAATAATCTGGTTTTGGTAGTGAAAGAACAGCAGCAGTGCAAGCCCGTCCCTGTGTGTCAGGGGATGGTGGTACAAACACCACGCTCTCGGGGGTCTCTCCAGCCTCCTGTACCTACAGGCAGCACAGGGCTATGGACCAGCCTCTGGAAAAAACACCAGACAGCAAGAGAGTGCTACCTCCTGTACCTACAGGCAGCACAGGGCTATGGACCAGCTTCTGGAAAAACACCAAACAGCAAGAGAGTGCTAAAAAAAAGAGTTGTTTTGTAGGGCACAAGGCACCCAGTAAACCTGAGATACGGAGCGAAATATTTTAGAAGAGTTTAAAAAAGTTTGGTGAAGCTACTGAGAAGCAATTTTAGCAAACCCTGAGGAATGTTTCATTTCTGGCCAGATGTTACACGTCACTCAGCAAGTGCTTTCTTCCCCTTCCTGTTCTACAAACTGCATAACAAGATGCAGGATTGAAGCGGTAAATTCTCTCAATTTCTTCTTCCCTGACTTACAGACCAAAGATTTTTCTAGTGCCTTTGTCTTTGCACTAGAAATCCTGGGTGACTCACAGTTTCTCTCTCCCATCTCCAAAATTATTCATAGTGCTTCCTGACACCAGACTTCCCTTCAGAAAACTCAAGATCTGTGTTCAGCAATCAGCAGAATCAGTAACCCTTTTAAAAAAAAAATAAAATCTTGATTTGCATAACATTTCTTCTACAGCCCTATAATCATTATTTGCAGTATTTGTACAAGTTTTTGTATTGTCTTTATTTGCATTATTTGATCCATCACAGCATGCAGAATCTTCTCACACAGCAGATGGGACCTGCTAAATAGGAAGCCAAAGGACACCAGCACGAAGCATCCCAATGACAGGAAGCATAGAGATTAAGAACTTCTCAGCAACTTGAAACTTGAGTGCAATAAAGGGAAGTCAGATTCCTCAAGGGGATCATGAAAGGATCATCAAGCACACAGGGCAGTGAGACAGGTGAAGCCACAGATTGACACATCCAGCAAGAGACATGAAAGTGACAGGAAAGCATCCTATTGATCTGAACCAGACACCTGCCTAAACCCTTGGTGAAGGCCTAAAATGTTTGGTATCAACTTTTTTGACTCCATTTTCTCTTTCCATACCATAAGCAACTGCTGGTATAGATACAACTATGGATCACAGAATGATCTGGGGTTGGAAGGGATCTCTGGAGAGTATCTCGTCCAACCCCCTGCCAAAGTAGGTCCACCCAGAGCAGGTTGCACAGGAACATGTCCAGGTGGGTTTTGAATGTCTCCAGAGACAGAGACTTCACCACCTCCCTGGGCAGCCTGTTCCAGGGCTCTGCCACCCTCAAAGTGAGGAAGTCCCTCCTCGTGTTCAGATGGAACTTCCTATGTTCAAGTTTGTGCCCATTTCCTCTTGTCCTGTCACTGGGCACCACTGGGACCTGCTGTTCAGTGCAGACCGCTAAAGAACAGGTGGCACCTTGACTCCTACGTAGTTACTTTAGCTTCAATCCTTCTTCCAAATTAAAAACCCCAAGAACAGCCTAGATAGCTACCAAAATTAACATTAGAGGCAAACGCATAAGAACACTTGTGTCTATAGGAAAATAGTTTAAAATCTACTAGGATAAGCTAAGTATTTTCAAGTAAGCAGGACCTGATGAAATTCACTCCACAATACTTGGTCTCAGTGATTAAAAGAAAAAAAAAAAGTTAAGTCAGAGTGTTACCTTGTAAGAGTTACAAAAAAGTGCTAAATGTGAGGTAACAGCCAGCTCGGGGTTTTGTCAAGATCGCAGGGAGGGAAGTGCTGTGGTGGGGGACAGGACAACCAGCAGCAGTTTTTGAAGACTACACCGTGTCAAACTAAAGCCTCATTTTCTATCAGGCTTATATTTCTGAGTTTGAGGGAAGAAGCAGCAGTAAAACGTCCTCTAATTCTTTCCAATGATAAAACCATGGAGCGTAACTTTGCCAAACTATGCGCATTTGAAATTTTTCCTGCTAGATGTCTCCCTCAGCTTTATTGCTGCATGTAAGACAGTTGCACAGTTTGCAAGAGACAGAACTAAGACAAATTACATTACCTGTGCTACCTTCTGGAAAGCCTTGGGCTGAAATATGCTGCACCCACCATGCTTTAGCAGGCACGTAAAATTTGACAGAAGGATGATCTGAGCCAGGCATGTGGAGCAGAGACTCTGGTTTGGACGACACATCAAAACTTGTTGCCTCAACTCGTCTGCCAGAGACAAACAATGGTATTTTGCCCCTACTTTTGCGGTTAAACACTTGCAACTTTCTCCTGTGAACTTCAAATAATCTGGTTTTGGTAGTGAAAGAACAGCAGCAGTGCAAGCCTGTCCCTGTGTGTCAGGGGATGGTGGTACAAACACCACGCTCTCGGGGGTCTCTCCAGCCTCCTGTACCTACAGGCAGCACAGGGCTATGGACCAGCTTCTGGAAAAACACCAAACAGCAAGAGAGTGCTAAAAAAAAGAGTTGTTTTGTAGGGCACAAGGCACCCAGTAAACCTGAGATACGGAGCGAAATATTTTAGAAGAGTTTAAAAAAGTTTGGTGAAGCTACTGAGAAGCAATTTTAGCAAACCCTGAGGAATGTTTCATTTCTGGCCAGATGTTACACGTCACTCAGCAAGTGCTTTCTTCCCCTTCCTGTTCTACAAACTGCATAACAAGATGCAGGATTGAAGCGGTAAATTCTCTCGATTTCTTCTTCCCTGACTTACAGACCAAAGATTTTTCTAGTGCCTTTGTCTTTGCACTAGAAATCCTGGGTGACTCACAGTTTCTCTCTCCCATCTCCAAAATTATTCATAGTGCTTCCTGACACCAGACTTCCCTTCAGAAAACTCAAGATCTGTGTTCAGCAATCAGCAGAATCAGTAACCCTTTTAAAAAAAAAAT